GGGGCCCCCGGGGGGGGCCCCCCCACTATTAAAAACAAATAAAAAACAAAGTTTTGTTCAGCAGCAGCTTCGGCAGCAGCCTCACGCAGCACCGAGCATGCAGCAAGAGGCCTACCCGGAGGCTCTGCCCTATTAAGGTTAGAGGGGGCTGCTGCAGCTGCAGCAGCTGCTGCTGCTGCAGCAGCCGCAGCAGCAACCGCGCGCGCGCTCTCGCCGCCGCCGCCGCTGCTGCTGCTGCTGCTGCTGCTGCCCGAAGCGTCCAGGCAAGCGCCGCTGGGCCCTAGGCCTGTGGGTGAGGGCTCACATGCAGCCACGGGGGCGTCCGGAGAAGGTGGTGAGAACTGCTGCTGCTGCTGCTGCTGCTGCTGCAGCATAAGAGGGTCATCTAAGGGAGGAAGCAAAGGAGGGGGGGCTGCTGGGAACTGCTGTGCTGCTGCAGAGGCCCCTGCGCCCTCGTCCATCTTGTCGCGGTGTACGTACACCGCAGCCGCAGCCCCGTCCTACCGCAGCAGCTGGAGCAGCAGCAAAGCCCTGGCTGGCGCCCCGGCGGCCGCCGCAGCAGCAGCAGCAGCAGCAGCCGCAGCAGCAGCAGCTGTCTACCGACCCGCACACCGCTGGAGGCAGCCTCGAGCTCGCCCCGCTGCAGCAGCCAAAGGGTCCCGGGGGTCTGTGGGGCGCGGGGCTGGCCGCAGGAGCAGCGGAAGCAGCACTAGGGCGGCAGCAGGGGCGGCGCCGCAGCAGCAGCTGCAGCTGCAGCAGCAGCAGCAGCGGCGGCGCGGCGGCGAGGGCCCTTCCGAGGCACGCTGGCCCCCAAAGAGTCCCAAATAGACTTTAATTGAAGCTACAAAACCGCTGGAAGACGAAAGAAAGCCGCAGGGCGGGGCCGGGAAGCCGGGGTTTGGTGCGGCGCCGCGCACAGCCAGCTGCTGCGGGGAGGCGTTCGCGCGCCTTCTGCGGGGAAAGTGCAGCAAAAGTGGTCCAGTGGACAGGCCAGTGGTGCTTTGCCGGTGACTTTGCAAAAGAAAAGCCGCAGAAGGCCCGGCGCCCGCGGATTCCCTGCTGCCGCCTCGGCCGACCCGCCGAACCCGCAGCAGCAGCAACTGGAAAGCGGCGGAAAGCGAGGCTAAACTCCAGGCTCCTGAGTCCAAAACAGAGCTGTAAAGTTCTTTTCCAAAACGCAACTTGCACGCAAAATTTGACTCCAAACGCCCGAGAAACAACCCTAAACAAACGCGAATGCAACAAATGCGCAGCACCAGCGGCGGGCTGCGGCTGCTGCGCGGCTGCTGCTGTACGTACACCGCAGCGCTGCTGCCAGTGGCTGCATGGGGGCTGCGCTGGTTGGGGAAAACTGGCCTCCTTTTCTCCTCTTTTCCGAGTTTTTACTTCTTTTTTACATTTTATTTCAATTTACTTCCACACAGAGACCTAGAAGAGCCGCTTTGTCCTTCAAAAGGCGCCTCCCGCCCCCGAGACTGCAGCGCGCCCACCCCCGGTGTATATACACCGCGGGCCAACGCTAGCGGCTTTCCCTCACTTGTACTCAGATTTTATAGTTCATAAATGGATTTCCTCTTTTTTTAAATTGAAGAGCTGCAGCAGCCCTTTCTAGCTGCTGGTACTCAGCACTGGCTAGCTCTGGAGTGTATGTAGACTAGAGAGGAGAGCTGGCGCGTCTCACAGCCACAAACGCCCTCAGGGCCAAATATGAATTTTAAAATGCATTTTAGCTGCTGCTGCTGCTGCTGGCTGCTGCTGGCTGCTGCTGCTGCTAATTTAGCTTCCGTGTTGCTGCTGCCTTCAGCTAGTATCCATAGCTGCTGCTGTCTTCTCGCAGAGGCCACATAGCGTACTTGCTGCTGCTGCTGCTGCTTCTCGCAGAACACCGGGACAGTTGCTGTTGTTGTTGCTGCTGCTGCTGCTGCTTAGCCCAGCCTCTTGTGCAGCTATTAACTTGCTGCTGCTGCAGCAAACTAGTCACTCAACTGCTGCTGCTGGCAGCTGCAGCACAGGCCCAATGAGCTCAGAGGGGCCCCTTCAAAAGATATCAAATGTGGAGGACTTACAAGAGGGTTATAAAACCCCAAAAATGGTTTTAAATTATTTAAAATGGTTTAACATGATCTAAAATGATTTAAAATGATTTAAAATGATTTAAAAAGGTCTAAAGTGATATGAAAAGCTTTAAAATGATCTAAAATGGTTTAAAATGGTCTAAAAGTATTCTAAAAAGATATAAAAAGACTTCAAAAGATCTTCAAGAATTCGAAATGTCCTAAAAGGCTTAAAAGGCCCAGAAGCGAATTTTTGAAAAGTTTGAAAAACTACAAGAGACCCAAAAGGCCTTAAAGTGTTTGAAGATTTCACTGATTGTATAAAATTGAATATTTTATAAATTGAATAAAATTAAATATTTTATAAATTGGATGAAATCAGAGATTTTATAAATTAAATAAAATTAAAGATTCTAAAGGACCTAAAAGGAAACAAAGAGACTAGACAGGGCTCAAAAGGACATATAGAGATGTGAAAAGAACTTTAAAAAGAACCAAAAGAAGCTTTAAAAAGACCTAAAAAGACTTTAAAAAGACCTTAAAAAGATCTTTAAAGGGGTTCTTCTTAGACCTTTTGAAAGACCTAAAAAGGACATTTAAAAAGAACTAAAAGGGGTCTTTAAAGAGATCTAAAAAGGATTTTTAAAAAGGCCTAAAAGGCTTTGGAGAGATCTAAAAAGGATCTCCAAAAAGACCTAAAAAGGATCTTTGAAAAGATCTAAGAATGCCTTGAAGGGCCTTAGAGGGTCTCGAGGGTTTTAGAAAAGGAGTTAAGCGCTTAAAGGGCCTTAAAAGGTTTAAAAGGGCTTAAAAGGGTTTTAAAATGATCCCAAAGGCCCTTTAAAGTGCTTTAAAAAGTTCAAAAATGATTTTAAAATGTTTTATAATTGTTCATTTATATATAGGTCTTTTAAATGGTTTTAAAAGACCTATATATAAATGAACAATTATAAAATGTTCTTTAAAAGTTTTAAAAAAATGTTTTAAAAATGTTTTAAAAATGTTTTAAAAATGTTTTTTTTTTGGTTTAGAGGGTTTTAAAGGGTTTTGAGGGCTTTAAATTTTTAAGAGTTTGAAGGGTTTTGAAGCTTTAAAGGGTTTGAGGGGTTTTAAGGGTTTTAAACTCCTTAGAGGGTTTGAAAGGACTTGAAAGACTTTAAAGGGTTTAAAGGGTTTAAAGGGTTTAAAAGGTTTTAAAAGCTTCAAAGGGTTTTAAGGGTTTTAAGTGTTTTAAGAGCTTGAAAGGGTTTGAAGGGTTTTAAAGGATTTGAAGGGTTTGAAGGGTTTTAAATGATTTATGAGGGTTTTAGAAGTCTCACTAAAACCCTCAGAGGGCCTTAAGGGGTTTTCAAAGACTTTATAAACCCTTGAAGGTCCTTTGAGGGTTTTGAAGGACTTTATAAACCCTAAAAAGGCCTCAAGGGTTTTAAAAAGTCTCTCAAAGCCCTAGAAAAGGGTTTTGAAGGGGTTACAGTTCTTCAAGGGTTTAAAACCCTCTAAGGGTTTAAAAATTTTCGAGGGTTTGAAGTCTTTGAAGGGTTTTAAACCCTCAAAGAGTTTTAAATGCTTGGAGGGTTTTAAACCCCTGAAGGGTTTAAGTTCCGTAAGGGTTTAGACCCTTGAAGGGTTTTAAGTTCTTTAAGGGTTTAAACCCTCGAAGGGTTTTAAACCCTCAGAGGGTTTAAAACCCTCCAAGGGTTTTAAGTCAGGCCTGAGGGTTTTGCTGCATTTGCTGCTAGCTGCGCCCGAAGGGTTTACAAGGCCAGTAAAAATGGCTTGTGACAGCAGCAGCAGCAGCAAGAAACCAGCAGCAGGAGAGCAGCAGCAGCAGCAGCAGCACAGCATAGCAGCAGCAAGGGTTTAGGGTTTCTGTGGGGACTGCAGCGCGTTGTTGAGCCACAAGCCCAGGGAAGCAGCAGCTAGCCACAGCTAGCTGCTGGGAGCAGCAGCAGCCACAGCTAGCTGCTACTAGCCGCAGCTAGCTACAAGTAGCTGCGCAGCTAACTACCAATGGCTGCAGCTAGCCGCAGCTAGCTGCAGCTAACTACACACTGCAGTAGCTAGCTGCAGCCAACAACAAATAGCTGCAGCAGCTAGCTGCAGCTAGCTGCTGCTAGCCGCTGCTATCTGCAGTCAGCTGCAGCAGCAAGCCAGCAGCTGCAGCAACTGCACCAGCTGCAGCAGCTAGCCAGCAGCTGCAGCAACTGCACCAGCTGCTGCTGCAGCAGCTAGCCAGCAGCTGCAGCAACTGCACCAGCTGCTGCTGCAGCAGCTAGCCAGCAGCTGCAGCAACTGCACCAGCTGCTGCTGCAGCAGCTAGCCAGCAGCTGCAGCAACTGCACCAGCTGCAGCAGCTAGCCAGCAGCTGCAGCAACTGCACCAGCTGCAGCAGCTAGCCAGCAGCTGCAGCAACTGCACCAGCTGCAGCAGCTAGCCAGCAGCTGCAGCAACTGCACCAGCTGCAGCAGCTAGCCAGCAGCTGCAGCAGCAGCAGCAACGACTGCAGCAACAAGCTCTCTGTGAAGCTGCGCCACGAGAATGGCTGATGAGGGTTTAGGGTTTAGGGTTTGAGTTCAAAGAAGAAATGGGGGTTTGGCAGCGAAGGAGGGTTTAGGGTTTAGAGGCAAACAAGGGTTTAGGGTTTGGACCGAGGGCCTAGGGTTTGAGGATAAATCAGGCTTTAGAACAAGGAGGCAAAGGAAAACGCTATAACCGCACTAAACCCTAAACCCTAAACCCTAAACCCTCGAGACAGCAAAATTAGAAAGGATGAGTCCAGAAGAGACAAAACACATGAAAAGAGAGTAGAGAGCAGCATGGGGGCTTTTGAGCAGCAGCAGCAACTGCAGCAGTTGTTGCAGGAGTTGCTGCTGCTGCAGCCGCCGCTGCTGCTGCTGCTGTTGCTGCTGCTGCTGCTACTGCTGCTGCTGCTGCTCTTACAGCGTCTCCTGCTCCATCTGGAAATCAGGGTTTGTGAACAAGCGGCTAAATCTGCTGTCTTGCAGCAGCTCAGCAGCAACTGCTGCGTCCCGTTTTTGCTTCTTGCTGTTACTATCCTGCAGCAGCAGCAGCAGCAGCAGCAGCAGGTGGCAAGGAGCACATACAGCAGCACAGACCCTCAGCAGTAAGACGGCAGCAGCAACAGCAGCAGTAACACCGCCAGCCGCAGCACAGCCACAAGCACTCCAGCAGCAGCAAGAGCACCAGCAGCAGCAGCAGCAACAGCAGCAGCAGCAGCAGCAGCAGAAACAACAACCCCACCCCCACCATTCTTACCTTCGTGGCCTCCAAAGTCCTCTGCAGCTTTTCAGCAAATTCGGCATTTGTCTTTGGCAGCTTCCGCCGCACCTGCAAACGCAAGCTCCAAACCCTAAACCCTAAACCCTAAACCCTAAACCCTAAACCCTAAACCCTGGACTCTGTATCCTAGCTTAGCTCCAAATCCGTGCATTGAGTTCCAAACCCTGCGCCTTTCTTTCTTTATTGCAAACCCTAAACCCTGATAGTTAAGTAAACCCTAAACCCTAAACCCTCATCTCCCTCAAAACCTAAGCCCAGCAGCAGATGCAAACCCTACACCCTCAAAAACTGTAAACCCTAGATTGTAATCTGGGTACGAACAACCCTTGAAGCCAACCCCTAAACCCTAAACCCTAAACCCTAAACCCTAAACCCTCGAGCTCCGACCTGTATGCGCATTGTCTTTTTCTTTTCAAGTCTCTCTTTGATTTTCTGCTGTCTGTACGCCTCAAACGCGAAGGGTTCCGCTGCTGCCTGCAGCAGCACAAGTAGACAAAGCCTCGAGCAGCGTGCAGCAGCAGCAGCAGCTGCTGCTGCTGCA